GACTATAGACTAGATTATAGACTAGACTATACACTAGACGATAGACTAGACTATAGACTAGACTATACACTAGACGATAGACTAGACTATAGACTAGACTATACACTAGACGATAGACTAGACGATAGACTAGACTATAGACCAGGCGATAGATTAGACTATAGACTAGACTATAGACTAGACTATAGACTAGACTATAGACTAGACTATAGACTAGACTATAGACTAGACTATAGACTAGACTATAGACTAGACGATAGACTAGACTATAGACTAGAATATAGACTAGACGATAGACTAGACTATAGACTAGACTATAGACTAGACTAGACTATAGACTAGACTATAGACTAGACTATAGACTAGACTATAGACTAGACTATAGACTAGACTATAGACTAGACTATAGACTAGACTATAGACTAGACTAGACTAGACTATAGACTAGACTATAGACTAGACTATAGACTAGACCATAGACTAGACTATAGACTAGACTATAGACTAGACTATAGACTAGACTATAGACTAGACTATAGACTAGACTATAGACTAGACTATAGACTAGACTATAGACTAGACTATAGACTAGACTATAGACTAGACTATAGACTAGACTATAGACTAGACTATAGACTAGACTATAGACTAGACTATAGAATAGACTATAGACTAGACTATAGACTAGACTATAGAATAGACTATAGACTAGACTATAGAATAGACTATAGACTAGACTATAGACTAGACTATAGACTAGACTATAGACTAGACTATAGACTAGACTATAGACTAGACTATAGACTAGACTATAGACTAGACTATAGACTAGACTATAGACTAGACTATAGACTAGACTATAGACTAGACTATAGACTAGACTATAGACTAGACTATAGACTAGACTATAGACCAGACTATAGACTAGACTATAGACTAGACTATAGACTAGATTATAGACTAGACTATAGACTAGACTATAGACTAGACTATAGACTAGACTATAGACTAGACTATAGACTAGACTATAGACTAGACTATAGACTAGACTATAGACTAGACTATAGAATAGACTATAGACTAGACTATAGACTAGACTATAGAATAGACTATAGACTAGACTATAGAATAGACTATAGACTAGACTATAGACTAGACTATAGACTAGACTATAGAATAGACTATAGACTAGACTATAGAATAGACTATAGACTAGACTATAGAATAGACTATAGACTAGACTATAGAATAGACTATAGACTAGACTATAGAATAGACTATAGACTAGACTATAGAATAGACTATAGACTAGACTATAGAATAGACTATAGACTAGACTATAGAATAGACTATAGACTAGACTATAGAATAGACTATAGACTAGACTATAGAATAGACTATAGACTAGACTATAGAATAGACTATAGAATAGACTATAGAATAGACTATAGAATAGACTATAGAATAGACTATAGAATAAACTATAGACTAGACTATAGACTAGACTATAGACTAGACTATAGACTAGACTATAGACTAGACTATAGACTAGACTATAGACTAGACTATAGACTAGACTATAGACTAGACTATAGACTAGACTATAGACTAGACTATAGACTAGACTATAGACTAGACTATAGACTAGACTATAGACTAGACTATAGACTAGACTAGACATTACACTAAGCAATGGTCTTTGGTATGGTCTAGACTATAATCAAGACCCCATAATTTACACTTTATATTGCTGCACCCTTTTAATCAATCTTGCTACGCACTAATTTCAAGTGTATAAACAATTTGTTTTTTTTTCTATAAAACAACTTTAGTTTATTTTTTCTAAATTTTACCTAAAAATAAATTCTATTCATCATACCACCACCTTGGATGGTATGGTATTCATACATTTAAACATATCATTAGATCATTTTGTTTATAGAAATTTTAAAAATATAACTAAAACTCCATGTAATGAGTATAATTTATAAATTAACACTATAATTTAAAACAATATTTGTAAGTACTTTAAAGTGTGTTTTGAAAAAAGTACTTGGTACTTTAGAAATTAGATACATATTTCATTAAGTAGTCGCGGCAACTGCTTGAAAAAAGTAAACAAATATAAATTTTAAAATAAATTATTAGGTTTTTCTAAAAAATTTAATTGTTTTTGATGTGGTGTCCGCGGTGTTTAGTTTGCATCATAAATCTTCTTTATTTTAGAAATTTATTTCTAGGTTATTGGTTTTGATTGACAATTTGATATGTCATCCCATTTCCGTTTGTTCTAATTAAAATATTTAAATAGTTTTTAGGAAAGAAATTTTATTTGAAAGTACCCTATAATAGTCAATTATTGATGATAGCATAAGATTTGTACAAGTACACAAAATGTCATTGGGTCTATGTCAACACTTTTGAGAGCCTAACTTCAAAAAACTGCATTTGTGTCAAGATAGAGAGAGTGAATAATTAGCTTTAAACTCTTTTTTTCAACTAAAATTTTCACTTTCAATTTATTTTCAAATTGAAGTAGTTCTCTTTTCAATCGCTGTCATTCTTGTACATACATACATACATATGTATGTATTCCTCAACATGTTTGAAATATGTGCAATGTGTAAATAAAAAGTGTTTCATTCTTAAATCATTCATGATGCTCTTGCAGAATGAAATGTTTGTTCCCCTTTTTTTTTTCTTTTATTCAATTTTTCAATTTTTGTTTTTGCTGTAAACTATTCTTACTTTGGCATTCAACATGAATGCCTTACTAATTGGCATTGGTAATTGAATTGTAATGCGTTTAAAATTAAATCGTCTTAATTGTAGTTGTTGTTTTATTCTTTTTTCTTCTGCTGGTTGCTGATTTTTCAGAGAATGCATGTCTGCAGATGCAAAATTCATTATTCAGTTATGGCCAGATTGTAGCCTAAGAGTATATTTTATATTTTTAAACTCTTCAATTAGCCAGGCAAAATATTTTACATGACTTCTTTTATTTTTGTAAACATCAATGGGTTGATTTATGCGAACATTAAATATTGTACGATAAAGAATTTGTTTGCTAGTGAGTACGAATAAAAAAAGAGAAGAAAATGTATTGACTCTAATGACGAATACAGACTGATGGTCTGAAGGTCTTTCATGAATGATAATGGCAATTTACTTAATATTAGAAAGTATTGGATTTAGGCATGGGTAATGTTTAAAATAGATAAATGTTTAGACTATACTACGGTCAAGACTATAATATAATCTGGCCTTTAGACTGGACTATATATAGACTGGACTATTGTCAGGACTATAGGCTAGACTATTCACTGTACTATAGACTGGACTATAGACAGGACTATAGACTGGACTATAGACAGGACTATAGACTAGACTATAGTCAGGACTATAGACTAGACTATATTCAGGACTATAGACTAGACTATAGTCAGGACTATAGACTAGACTATAGTCAGGACTAGACTATAGTCAGGACTATAGACTAGACTATAGTCAGGACTATAGACTAGACTATAGTCAGGAATATAGACTAGACTATAGTCAGGACTATAGACTAGACTATAGTCAGGACTATAGACTAGACTATAGTCAGGACTATAGACTAGACTATAGTCAGGACTATAGACAAGACTATAGTCAGGACTATAGACTAGACTATAGTCAGGACTATAGACTAGACTATAGTCAGGACTATAGACTAGACTATAGACTAGACTATAGACTAGACTATAGACTAGACTATAGACTAGACTATAGACTAGACTATAGACTAGACTATAGTCAGGACTATAGACTAGACTATAGTCAGGACTATAGACTAGACTATAGTCAGGACTATAGACTAGACTATAGTCAGGACTATAGACTAGACTATAGTCAGGACTATAGACTCGACTATAGTCAGGACTATAGTCTAGTCTATAGTCAGAACTATAGACTAAACTATAGTGAGGACTATAGTCTAGTCTATAGTCAGGACTATAGACTAAACTATAGTGAGGACTATAGACTAGACTATAGTTAGGACTATAGTCAGGAATACAGACTAGACTATAGTTAAGACTATAGACTAGACTATAGTTAGGACTATAGACTAGACTATAGCCAGGACTATAGACTAGACTATAGTCAGGACTGTAGACTAGACTATAGTCAGGACTGTAGACTAGACTATAGTCAGGACTATAAACTATACTGTAGTCAGGACTATAGACTAGACTATAGTCAGGACTATAGACTAGACTATAGTCAGCACTATAGACTAGACTATAGTCAGGACTATAGACTATAATCAGGACTATAGACTAGACTATAGTCAGGACTATAGACTAGACTATAGTCAGGACTATAGACTAGACTATAGTCAGGACTTTAGACTAGACTATAGTCAGGACTATAGACTAGACTATAGTCAGGACTATAGACTAGACTATAGTCAGGACTATAGACTAGACTATAGTCAGGACTATAGACTAGACTATAGTCAGGACTATAGACTAGACTATAGTCAGGACTATAGACTAGACTATAGTCAGAACTATAGACTAGACTATAGTCAGGACTATAGACTAGACTATAGTCAGGACTATAGACTAGACTATAGTCAGGACTATAGACTAGACTATAGTCAGGACTATAGACTAGACTATAGTAAGGACTATAGAGTAGACTATAGTAAGGACTATAGACTATGCTATAGTCAGTACTACATACTAGACTACAGTCAGGACTATAGACTAGACTATAGTCAGGACTATAGACTATGCTATAGTCAGTACTACATACCAGACTATAGTCAGAACTATTGAATAGACCGTAGTCAGGACTATTAGTGTTTTTCAAGTCAGGTAAAAATATTGCTGCATTAAAAGTTCGATTGTGATTAACTAACCCCTTCATGTTTTAGTTTTAAGACAACTATATCAAAATTCCGAAAATAACTATAATTTGTATGTTTTCTTTCTTCCGATCTTCTTACAGAATGCGAAAAATGCAAAATAAGCACAAAAAGACTAAACCTCAACAAGTTCTGCAAAAGAGATTACGGTAAGGAAATAATCAAATTCTTAAAAAATCTTCTCCTAAAAGTAATTTTAACTTTGTAATTCTTATTATTACCTTTCCTTCCCCCCAAAAATAGCAATAATGGCCAAAGTGATTGGACGGGAACAGAGTACCGAGGTAACGAGCAGCGAACAATATACCAAAGAAAATCAAAATCAACAAATGAACGACGCCGACAGCGCGGAAACGGACGAACAAATGGCAACAGTGAAATTCGATATACAGATACAAGCAATATTCAAACGAACACCCCTAGAATACGCAACTACGAATACAATCCTAAGACGAGGTCCTATGACCTGGATCATACCAGTGAAGAATTTAGAGTGTAGATGTCCCAAAATTAAAATGAATAAGTAAGTTTAATCAGAATATGGATTTTACCAAAAAAAATGTTTGGAATTAATTTTAAAATTTACTAAAATTGTATATGTGTTGTCTTTCTCCCTTCCAGATCTTATTTAATTTTGGGTAAAGATTCTGAAGCTCCACCCGGTTATCTGGGTATTGGTCCTCGTTCTATTGTTATTGAGTGGAAAGATGAATGGTATCGGCGCATGAAACGTTTTCAGCGCAGAGCGCGTACATGCGAATAAATTAGGTTTTATTTTTAATTTTAATAATTTTAATTTTATTTTTCTCTTTAGTAACTACTTACTATATCATTTCATTATTAAGCAATTATAAGAATATTTAATATGTAAACTGTAAGCAGTAAAACTTTTTAAACAAAAAAAAATTATGAATAAGAAAATCTTAAAAATCACAAAAAAATTAACAAGTTTTAAATGTGTATAAACAAAAGAAAATTTAAGAAATTTTTTTAATTTTTTAGTTTTAACAATTAACAGATAAAAATAGATTTTATGCAAAAAAAAACTTAACTTTAAAAAAAAATTAACAAAGAAAAACTTAAAATTTGGAACATTAGTTAAGATGAAGATTTAACGCCCGGCAGATTTTTGTAACAGTGGACACAAGCCAACAAGTTTTAGGAAGATTCAAATTTTCAATAAGAATTTTAAAATGTTTAAATTAAAATTATTTTTTTTTCCATATTTTAGATAACGTGCCGTTAATGTTATTATTGTAGGTTTGTTTATAAGGCCCCACTGTGCTTGAGATAACTGCAGGGTTGTAAATTTGTATCTTATTAATAATATACAGAATTATAGCTTATTTTTGTTAAATATTTCAACATAGAAATTATAAAAAAATTAATATAAAATTGTTTTTTATCAAAATTTCAACCATTTTCCAAAAGTAATTTTAAAATGCAACACCTTGTTGAAAGCTTTACTACTCTAAATAGACATCTTGATGAAAGCTTTTTCGTTTCACAGTATCATCAACATTTTTAAAAATTCTGGAACTATGTATATTATAAGTCCTACTACGCTCAAAGAACTAAAAAGCTCTCAAAGCAAAAAGCTTAAAGCTTTTGAAAGTTCTCGCAGACTTAAGCTCAAATAACTTGAGTAATTTTATTTAGAATTTAATAAACTCAACATTCTCAATGATCATGTCTTGGCAAGTTTAGCAAAAAGCTTTACAAGTTAGTTTAAAAGCTCTCTTTGGACATTGTTGTCAGTTTGGTTTACAGCTCATAATTTTTATAAAAGCTTTATCTTTCAAAAATGTATAATAAGGATCACAGGTCTTGTAGGATATGTTTAAGAGATGTGACAACAGATTTTATTAATGGCATCCTTGAATACTTTACAAAAAGCTTTATTTTTTAACGATATACAGGGTAGCGGAAAGCTCTTTGACTACGCTGTTTTATCACTAGATATTGTTTATTGAGGAAAATGTGCTACGAAACCATTCTAAAGACTCTCAAAGAACTTCAAGGTGGCCAAAAGCTCTTAACCTAACTTGCAGAAGTTAGTTAATAGCGTGAACCCTCACTTGCTATTAACTTCGGGAGTTCCGGCTTCAAAATTTTTCATTAATATTCCTTACAGGGACGTTATCGAAATGGTCCACTCCATAACGTTAAATAGTTATCGTAAAAGCTCTATAAGAACTTTTAGTAATTCAACAGATTATTAATGCCGATATCAGTCTAAAATATATTAAAATTTTTCTTGGAATCTTTGCACTCATTCACTAATTCGTTGAGAATCACAATTTAGAATTATTTGACGGTTTAAAGGCATTTGCTGTGAATTTCGTAAGTCCGTTCAGGTTAGGATTTAAGTCTTCCATTAAACATTTTCGTTTGTCGAGTTAACTCAAATGTTAAAATACACCAAAAATTTAATTTTCCTTTAGCCCAATAGAACATCAGCAGAATGGACTAAGATGAAGATTAACCATCGGCAGAGAATAAACTCTATGATTACTTGTTCACGAACGTTTGAAAGCTAGAGTGTAAAAGATAACTCTTTATCCATTCATACTTTAAAGTAGGTATCAGGGGAGAGAGGGAGACCGTTTGTCGAGTTAACTCAAAAATTAATATACACCAAAGATTTAATTTTCCTTTAGTCCAATAGAACATTATCTGAGTGGTCTAAGACGAAGTTAACAAAATCTTAACATGATTTTCAATTTAACTGAAGATTAACCATCGGCAGAGAGTAAATTCTAAAGGATATTATTATTTCGCAAAAAAACTCTATCACGAATATTCCGCGAGCATTCCATGATCGTTTACCGAGTTAACTCAAATATTGAAATACACCAAAGATTTAATTTTCCTTTAGTCCAATAGAACATCAGCTGAATGGTCTAAGGTGAAGTTGATATAATCTTAACATGATTTTTAATTTAACTGAAGATTAACCATCGGCTGAGAGAAAACTCTACAGGATAATGTTAAGGGAATGCTTAGCGAGTAAGCATTCCATGACCGTTTGCCAGTTAAATCAAATGTTAAAATATATCAAAGAATTAATAGAGCATCAGCTGAATGGTCTAAGATGAAGTTGACATAGTCTTAACATGATTTTCAATTTAACTGAAGATTAACCATCGGCAGAGAGTAAACTCTATGATTACTTGTTCATGAACGTTTGAAAGCTAGAGTGTAAAAGATGGCTCTTTATCCAATCATACTTTAAAGTAGGTATCGGGAGAGAGAGAGTGACAAATGAGATATTTTTGACTGGTTTTTAGTAAGCTAACGCTAAAGCTAGATGAGAGATCATGAGTGAGCTCTTTGACCGATACTTTATAGGAAGGAATAGGAATTCAAAAAACCGATTGACCTGTGAGGGATATCATTGATCCAAATTAAAAACGATTTTGAAACCTTTTAAATTCTTTTTTAAAAAGCACAGTGCCAAATTTATATAAAAATATGTATTTAGTCTTCAAAAACTTAAAGAAATTTGCCATAATTCTGTTTATTATTAGTTTTTTTTTTATAAATTAAACAAAAATTAATTAAATTATATACTAACTGCATTTATTTATTAAATAATAATTTTATACATATATCATTTGTAAATTGACTTAATTAATTTTAATTTGTTTGTTTTATTTTGAAACCAGCACCATTTTGTAAATAAATATAATAATTATTAAATAGAAAACCATTTTGTAGCTTATTTTCGAAACACTTTTAATGATAAAAGAGACAAATTTCAGATTAGGGATACTTATGTCAATGATAAAAGGTCTCGTAAATTGTAAAGTCGGTGCAAACTCGCGACAAAAAAGAAAAAAATTCGTATTAGAGATACACAGAGGGAAAAAGAAATATACACGCACGGTACCAAATTGACACCAAACTTTTTATAATTTTTCAATACCATCCTACAACATTACATAGTGTTGTCGTACGTATGTATGTATATACTCGGAAAGGCCGGCTATACCAAAGTTAGAAACAAATCAGAGACGGAAAAAAGTTCTTATATCTGTAAACCTAATTAATATTCCAACTAAAAGTGTCAAAATCTTAATGTCAATGGACATTATGACACTTTTTGACAAGTTGCAATAATCATGAGTATTCAGCAATGGCAAACTTGATCTTGGTAATGAAAACCCTAATTATATCCTATACCTTTTTAATAAACCTTTATAAAACTTTAATAACTTTGTTGATTTAAATCAGAACTAAATAAAACTTCTTACAAATCTTCAATTAATTAACCCGATATTTCCAAAAGGAAAATGGTGCACGGTACTCAGGATTCGGCAAAGCCGAATAATATTATTTTATTTGAATTTCTTCTTTAGTAATACTATCGAATATTAATCAAAATAGTTTTTAGTTTTGTTCCACATCAAAAATAGTTGATGAATTCCTATATATAAAATAATAAACTCTCCACAAAACATAAATAACGAATAATAACGAATATTTTAAATATTTTTATTTAATTATAAAATTAAATAAAAATTTATTTAAAAGATTTGCAAAACGAAAATTAACATTTAAAAAAGCAATAATATTTTAATTAACAAAATCCTACTAAAGTAGCAATTAACAAAATATAAAAAAAAAACTGTGTTAAACATAACCTTAAATACTTAACCCCGCCCACAAAAACAAAATAACACGCCCACAACTACAACTTCAAATCAAATCCTTCAATAAACAAAATAAACCAAAATGCAATAATTTTTAATAATTAAATATTTTTTTGTTAATTATTTTAATAAAAGAAAAACAACACTTAAAATAGTATTAATTAATGTATAAAACATTTAATTTAATAATTTAAACAATAATATTATATTTTATATATTGAAAAAAAACCCACACAAAATATTTATATAAATAATCTTCTTAAGTCTGATAATTAATTCATCTTTTGTGTAATAAATTTATGGTAGTTTTAACAAAATATTTTTATTGATAACAACACACACATACACAGGAAAACATTATTTCATTATTTCTCTTATAAATTACTATATATGGAAAAAAAAATTAAATTTTGAAAAAAATATATATTTTAAACAAAAGTATAAGAATTAAGCCATTGCAAAAAAAATTAAATGAATGTCCCATTTATTGAATATTTTAAATATCGATTTAATTGAATGTCAATTGGTAAACTAACAACAACATGAAAATAAAAACAAAACCAACATTAATGCAATAATAAAAAATATATCTTATTAAAATAAAACTAAAAAATATATTAATAAAAAGAAACTAATATTGTACAGTTAAACAAAACTAAAAGTGTTTTAATTCAATTTAAACAAAAAAGAAGGACTAGTCGATCAAAACTGAAATTAGACTGAGGCAAAAAGGATTCAACCTGGTTCCAAAGAATAAATGAATTCTGATGCCGAAAGCTTAAACCAACCCTTACTACAGTAAGGGTTCTACACTGCAAAATCCCTCAGTAGAATTCACTTTCTAGCCATTTCAGCCTGAGATCTTGTATTCTAGAACATTGGCAAGTCCTTAACATTCTCTTATAACCTGTCCGGGTCCGGTGTTGTCCCGCCTAATAACAAAAGCCCCTATAGAACAATGCTCCTTTATTATTCCTGTCCCAATCGTAAGACTAAATCTATGTAGTCCAATAAGTTGCTTTCGCATGAAGTGTTCTTAACCTTATGGTTCTTAGATTGTCTGCAATCTATTCTACTTCTAATGTTGCAGAACCTATCGGACACAATTAAATGAGTTTATCCTCCCGTCAATATTCTACCAATTCATCAGCGACTTCATTACCTTGTAGCCAATACTTTCCACATTCAACTACTAAGCAATGTTCATCGACATAAACAGACCCCAGATCGAATTTTCATGTGAATGTCTGGCGAAGGTTAAATGGGACCTACTGAGCGAGTTGGTATTAGATGAACAATCAAAAAGGTGGAAGGTGTCATGTAGGCCTTCCGCAAGGCTCGGCATATATTAAGCATGGTACTGTATATGCTAGACCAATGGGTATTAAACATATTACTCTATACAGATCTAAGTTGTGCCAGAACTACTCTTGCTTGACGCTACAGATGGTGGGTGGACCATAAATACGATATTCATACAATAATCTACAATTCTGTTTACTGTAACTCTATAAATATCATTGAGTGCGGTAATTCCCAAATTCCTCTCAACAAAGCCGGCCTTGGCCCACTGTCCTGGTTCCCGATGAGCCAACGAATCCCGAGGAGATATTAGTTCCTTATGTTCGGTAATACCCAAATCCCTACGCACAATTAAAAGGTGGGTATCCGAATCTCAGAAAATTTCAGAAGGATAATCATCATAATTAGACAGTCTTTGGGGCCACTTCGGTAGAGACAAGAAAAGGTCTCTACTATGACTAGCGTGCGCCTTCCGTAAGGCTCGGAATATATTGAGAATGGTATTGTATATGCGAGACCAATGGGTTTTAAACATATTACTCTTTACAGATCTAAGTTGTGCCAGAACTACTCTTGTTTGACGCGACAGGTGGTGGGTGAACCATAAAAACGATATTTATACAATTCTATTTACTGCAACTCTATAAATATCATTAAGTGCGGTAATTCCCAAATTCTACTCAACAACGCCGGCCTTGGCCCACTGTCCTGGTTCCCGATGAGCCAACGAATCCCGAGGAGATATTAGTTCCTTAAGTTCGGTAATACCCAAATCCCTACGCACAATTAAAATGTGGGTATCCGAATCTGAGAACATTCCAGAAGGATAATCATCATAATGCGGCAGTCTTTGGGGCCACTTCGTTAGAGACAAGAAAAGGTCTCTACTATGACTAGCGTGCGCCTTCCGCAAGGCTCGGCATATATTGAGGATGGTACTATATATGCGAGACTAATGGCTATTAAGCATATTGCTCTATACTCTTGTTTGACGCGACAGGTGGTGGGTGAACCATAAATACGATATTCATACAATTCAGTTTACTGTAACCCTATTAATATCATTAAGTGCGGTAATTCCTAAATTCCACTCAACAACGCCGGCCTTGGTCTATTGTCCTGGTTCCCGATGATCCAACGAAACCCGAGGAGATATTATAGCTCCTTAAGTTCGATAATTCCCAAATCCCCACTCATGATTAGAAGGTGGCTATACGAATTTCAGAAGGATAATCATCATAATTAGACAGTCTTTGGGGCCACTTCGGAAGAGGCAAGGAAAGGTCTCTACTATCACTAGTGTTCGCCTTTCTTCGTGTCTACCGAGGTGACGACAAGTATGAAATTGCTCAAAATGATAGAAATCCGTGTAAAGATGAGATTACGCGTCTTGTCGTGCGACGACGCCAGTTCAGTCGCCGAGGAAGACACCCCAACCAATTCACAATTGGTTTGAGAGTTTTTCGAGGGAGTGAACGAAGATCAAGTGAACGTCAACGTCACCCTGGTACGCATGTTTAGGTGAAGATCACACAAATTAATATTCGTCATTTCTAAGCAGCTTCGGGTGCCCAGCTCCTCCGGATGACGAA